ATTTTACAGTCAATGAATGAAACATTGTTTAACTAATCATATACTGTCTCTTAGTTACTTACACTATATTAAATTATTAGTACATATTAAAAGCTGCTTTATATAAAGTATCTAATACGTTAACAAAAACTAATAATATTATATAAAACTACAACAAATAGTATAACAACAAAATTATGTATATATATATATATTTAGTTTAATTATGTGGCAATATTATTATCGAGTATTTGATTGTATAAAATATTTATATGCTTTTATATTTAACTTTGTTGATTTCATATACAAGATTTTTTAATATGCACTAATCTAATGTAATGCAAATGACCGAATTCGTTAGTTTATTCATATATAAATATATAAATAAATATAATTACAGATGCCACCAGCAAATCAGCAACCTGCTCCAGATCAACCATTTCCTTTGCCAACTAGTAGACAGATTTCGTCAATACCTAAAGCAACTGGGGAGGAAGGAGAATTTTGGGTATATCCTTCTCAACAAATGTTCTGGAATGCTATGTTAAGAAAAGGATGGCGATGGAAAAATGATGATATCTCCCAGAAAGATATGGACGACATCATAAAAATTCACAATGTCAATAACGAACAGGCATGGCAAGAGGTTCTTAAATGGGAAGCCCTTCACGCGCGAGAGTGTGGCAATCCCAAGCTGCGTAGTTTTGGAGGAAAAGCATCCAAATATTCTCCACGTGCGCGTATTCGCTATTGGATGGGGTACGTTGATCTTTATAATTTCAATTCTCAAAATTTTAACCTGCTGATCTATTCAAATATATATATATATATATTGTGTGTGTGTGTGTGTGTGTGTGTGTGTGTGTGCGTGATCATATCATTTTGGTCGATATGATTAAAAAGTTCTAAAAAATAGAAAATTTTCATAGAAAAAAGATATATTAACAAATGAAACTAGATTATCAAATACTAGAGACATTTTTTCAATAAAATGTTAGAAAAAAAAATTGCATTTTGAGTCATATAGACCAAACAAGTCAGCAAAGTTAAGTCGCTACATGGTCTTTAATGCTATATTAAATGTAACATACTTTCAGGTATGAACTACCATTTGATCGACATGATTGGATCATAGATCGTTGTGGAAAAGATGTAAGATACATTATTGATTATTACGATGGTGGAAAAATTAATGAGAAGTATATGTTTGCGTTGCTCGATGTGAGACCCGCAATGGATTCATGGGATAATATCTGGGATCGGATGAAAGTAGCATGGTGGCGTTGGAAATATCAATCCAATAATGAACCAATGTCTACTGCCACAATGCATTAATTTAGAAATTAGTGTCAATAAAAAATACGTTAGTTCGAAAAATTTTTATTAAATTGATAATTAATGCCTTATAATAATTACGCAACACATTATTTATTGTGTGATGAAACAAAAATCACGATACATATAATTTATGTACATATTAGTTATATACATAAGTATCATAAATACAAGTTTACAATACTTATGTATATTTAGTAACATCTTTCCAAAATAACGTCAAATTAAAGCGAATTAAAAAGTATATATTCATACTTGATAATAAATTTTATATATATTTATAAATATATGTGTATATATATCTTTTTTATTCATTATACATAAATCTATTACAATTTATCTGTGGTATTAAATAATCACTGGAAATGATTTTATAAAGTTACAAATAATTTGAACTTACTGCCAAATATTCGATCGATCGAACTTAAGTCTCTACTTAAGTCTTAATACTTAAGTATTCAAGTATTCAAAGATTAAATAAAAGAATTGTGTGCGTGCGTGCGTATGTGTGCGCGCGCGCGCGCGCGCGTGTGTGTGTGTGTGTGTGTGTGTGCATCGTGTATATCTTGTAATATTTACAATTGATACATTTATAATTTTGCTTTTTCAAATTATTATATGCGAATATTGTATGTTTTAATTTAAGTTTTAGTGTTCGATTCGAATAATAACACGTAAATTGTATGATCTGGCAGTTAGGCAAACTTAAATTGTACATAAATATTTACATTTTCATAATCATATATCCCTTTCTTTGATTATTCATGTAGAATACTTTTCGTGTAGTATACTTTTTCATGTAGAAAAGGAAAATCAAACTTCTAATCAGAATTTTGAAATATTCCCCGAATTTATTGACAATTTTTCGACAATTTATCAAAATATTTTTTAATTGTTCGGAATAGACTTGTTCATTTCAAGGTATAGATATCCACAACACTCATAATATCATCATCGCTTTGCCAATTATTTGCACAATATACTTTCGACAGGAAATATAAATTATGAAATACGCATTTTAAATTTCGCTTATCAATATAACGACGCTACTTGATCCAGAGCCAGGGAAACTTTTGACTTTTCTGGATGTGAAGTGCTTCAATATTTCAATAAATTTTTTTATGAGAAAGTATTAAATTATTCATATCTTAACTATACATATTACTCAACTGCATGTTTTAAATTAGGAGGTAAATAATTTAATAAATATTCACATTGTACATTATATAATTTTTTATTGTCAATATATATATATATAGCTCCATGTAGTTTTCACAATATTTATAGTTATCAGCAGAATAATAACATGTAATAACATCGTACATCTTATAGACTAAAATTTACATAACTTCGTTAATGAATTGAGAATTATTTAATTTTAGGAAATTAATAATTATATTACAAAAGTTCAAATATTGTTGAAGCTAAACAAGTGATTATAAAAAATTAGCATTAAGATAAAATAAACCTTAAATACAAGAATAATATGTGATGCTATTCTCTCCTAAAACTTAAATAATCTAAATTAATTCATTTCAATGAATTTTAATATGCAAAATTTTTTTAAATAACAATATTCATTTTTTGAAGTTCCTCAATTATTTATATATGTAAGTATTTCTTAAATATATAATTTAGAATATATATGACTATATTAAACAGTACAGAACCAAAGAATTGCACTTCATTTTCTGAGTAAGAATATATGTAATATAGTAAATGTTGCTTATTAAAAATAATCTATTTTATAAAGTGTCATTCATATATATTAAAGGCAGTTATTGGGAGCTATATTTTTCATTGACATGATGTAAATTAATTGATAAACATCTTTCCTAATAAAATATCCAACAGTAAAAAAAATATATATATTTCATATACTTATAGAAATTTATAATCAATAGATTATCTGTAAGCCAAAGTTGTTGTTTTTCTATTTTTCTGCAATTGTATGTATATATTAATACTGATATATACATCATACTAACAGCATGTGCATAATAATGATATCATGGAATTTACAATAATCTAAAATTTTTATAAGATATGATACCGCTTAAGCTAGACGTTTTTATCATAATATGTTTAACATTAAACACAATTGTAATTTTATAACTGACAAATTCGTTCGATTCTCAATGTTTTAGTATTTTAATAAAAGGCAGCTGCTATATGAAATATCTCGACATTTACAATTTTGGTAACATTTACTTTTTTGAACATTGTTTTGATTTTATTATAATATTTATTTTAATATCTATTTAGAGTTTGTTAAATATACAACGATTAATATTAGATAATAATCCAATATTAGATAATAGTCTAATATTAGATATTACACTAAATTTTATACCTAAATAGAGCTTTAACTAAATTCTGATGGTTGGGTAAATAGAATGTCATACATACTGTTGGCACATTAAATTATTTCAGAGAAATTAATTCTAATATTAATTATAACAATAAAAAGATAAGCAATATCGTCAAATTTAGTTTCTTTTATATGTATATATAAATAATAAGCAACAATAATAAAAGCAGCAATGTAATATAGAAGCAGTAATAATAAAATATTCCATTTATAATATACAATATCAAATAACAGAGAGTAACATCAAATATCTAATTGGACGAACATATACAGTATGTCTTGCTTCTACCTGAGCACTTTCGTCTAATAAATAAAAATTATAGAGAGAAGCATTAATATGCAAGGGAAACGACTGAGATATACTGACGGTAACAAAAAAATTGAAGTGCGCTTTATTTATATATATATAAATATATATAACATATTTCTCTAAAAATTTAAATTCAGTATCTGTCACATATGTGTCATAAAACATATCTTGTTTATAATTTTGATTATGACATTCTCTTTAATTTTATGTGATATTAATTTCAAAACATATAGTTTTATCTTATTATATAATTTTTTTCTGACTTATGATCAATTTATAGTTTATACCAAATTCTTGTTAACTTCAAATCTGTAATCAAATCTATAACCTTTATATTATTACAATATATCGCACAAGAATATCTCATGTTGTTAAATCTGATTATGTGGTAAATAACGATGACAATTGCCAGAACCACAAAGACAAGAAGTATCACTGAGATAATGGACGGAATTAACCATTGCACCACCAGCATAGTCAAAAGTCACTTCCTTTCCGTTCTCTATATCTTTAGATGCAAACAAGCATAATCGAGGCACGATTCCCTCTACTCTAATCGGGATAAGGATAGAGTTCGGATCACAGCTATGATTAGCATAGCGTCCAATATTACCAAAATATTTCGGATCTATACAAGTTATAATAACACGATCTCCAGCATGTTCTGATACTACAAGAACGTAATTCATCATGTTACCCTGCTTATTAGCCTCAATTCTGCATCGTGCTTCTTGCAGACTTATCACTTCGCCAGCGTATTCACAAATAAATTGACCCTTTTTTATTAACTTATTCGTGAAAAGACCGAGACCTTTATTGGCAACTTCTCTGACAATTAAACAATTTAACGGACCATTCTGTACTAATCTATTTCCACAATCTGATCTACATTTACAACGAGCATGGCATTCAAATATCGGACCGATTAATTTCTCATCAACAATTCGAGCATTAGAATAATTAGCAGAACCGCGTGTACACGAGCAATTAAAACATTCAGCTACACACGAACAGCCTACAGCGTATTCTGCTTCAAAGTCTGCTGTATCTATCCCAGGCCCTGGTATATTATTTATTATGTACATAACGTCCGCTACAATATGTTCATACTCGTCAGAAGCATTCGCTTCCATGCTTACCGTAATTATGTATCAATAAAAATATCCAAAAAAGCCCGAGAGACTCTTTGGGATAAAGGCAGCACGAGATAAAAAGGAAAAATTTTTTAATTAAGAAAGGGACTTTTCTTAAATAAACAAACCCTATCGTGCGACACCAACCTGTAGAAGTCCCTGAACCGATGACTTAAGAGATTGGAACGTGATAGCAGCGGGTATTGCTACAACTCTGTAACCTATGTAAATTACAACACCAAGTACAGATGCCTTAACGGTCTGCTTCAAAATTTTACCCGACAACGATGGCGGTGGTATTCTGCAAAAGACTGTCTAGTAAATTAATATGTAATGGAATACATTATGTTTTAATATAATATATAAAGGATTCCTAAATTTTATTTAAGTTAAATTTTATTGCTTACAAATCATATAAATCAAGAAATATAACAAGAAAGACAAGAAAGAATACGCAAAATGTAGTTCTACAGATGCTTTTAGAAATATCTCATATAATAGCAATTATATTATGCAATATTTTTTATTTACCTCATGATAGGTGGTATATCAGAAGGCTTGACTTTACCCCAATTTTCAATGATGCCGGGTGTGTGTCCTAAACCAACGATTCCTACGACACGTGCTGGTTCGTAAGAATGATTAAAAACACAATGAGGCAGACATGATAACTGTAGCGAATTAGTCAAGTAAATATCTCTCTCTTTCACAAACACTTCTCCCAATACTGGAAACTTCTCCTTCATGTTGGCAATTATTTCGTCCAACATCGATCGTTGCTTACAGAGTTCGACATCCTCTTGAGTAATAGAATCTTTCATTATTGCCAGTTTCCACCCTAGTTTTATAGTCTGCCACCAGGATAATGATCGTATCGCACGTTGCATTGTTATGTTAATTGGTCGATCGGCCAAATGAATAATACAGTTTGGCACTTTCTTTGCCTAAGTTACATAATAATGAATTCATATAAATTTTATGATACAGATAATGGGTGTTTTCCAGCAAGAGATACAGATGACATAGGGAAATCGGTTCATTGAATATTTTCCATTTAGGCTGCGTCCTATTTTATAACATTCGTGGAATCATTTTATCTTTGTCGTTTATTAAATATTAAACAAGGACAAATGATGCTTGTGAGCGTTGCAAGCGTTAAGTGCAGTCTTAGAAACACAAGCCGATACAAGCATCGTTCCGTCTTTGTTACTCATGGAAGATAGAATGATGTATCGATTTATATTACTAAATGGAAACCTTCATTGGCAAATAACAAAGATATTATGATTCATTGTGTTACACTATATTAATTGTCTCTTGTTGAAAAATGCCTAATGTCTCTGATTTAATGCATACTGAAATACCTCCTCAAATGCCCTTCGGAATTCTCCTCCGGGTGGCATACCAAGTTCCTTGGCGACATGAGCTGCCATTCTTAGCAATAAAATGTGTAGTAAGCCATCATATAGTCCTTCCCTCTTAATGGTATCCATAATAGTTTCTGTAAATAAATTAAATAGTACAATATGTCAACACAGATAGCTAATGTATTATACAAATACAGAAACTCTGTCTCACTGTAATCAATATTCTTAGCATAGCCAAACAAAACTTCCTCATCAAGTTGTAGTATACCAACTCTGGCTCTGCACAATTCAACTGCAACTATGTGAGGCTGCACAGCTTGTATAATCTTTAACAAAATAAAAAAGAATGTTTTCAATATTATATATATTAAATTTTTACAATAAATTCATATCTAAAATTAAAAAGCAATATTTTATTTTCACAGAATAAAGGAAAGTACATATATATAGTTACTTTTGACACATCATTTTGACTTTCAACACTGAAATGTGCCGTTCCTACTAAGTATAACTTTCCTCCATCAGGTGTGGTCAATAATGTGACAGTTTCTGGCAATCTCTCATCAATCGTAGGATCATACTCCTTTACTTCGCTTATCGTGTTGCCTACATTACTTCCCTTATTCTGGATATTGGAATCTGCATTAGACCCAATATTTTCTGTGTTATAAATACATGGCTAAATGTGTTATACATACATGGCTAAATAGTAGGTTAAATTAATCTCAAAAAGTACAACAATGTACCTTGAGACCTTAAAATTTTCCTTCTTCTATATTGTTTTTGTGTTACTGACATTTTTTTTAAAGCACTGCTCTACACATAATAGCTTAAGTTATGATAGCAACAATAGCTGATTTTATTATTAGATTAAAAAGATTTTGTATAAGTGGGAAACCTTACAATATTAGCTGCATCAAAGTGACTCTCATAACTAAAGATACACTTGTCAAGTGAGTTTCTAACAACAACTAACATAACAAAAATGTCTGTAGAAATCTTAAAATTTATTTTTTATTGTTGGATTGTACTTTCTTAAACTTTCTGTCTCGCTTTTGTTAAACTTCAAACATATATCTACTTCACTTTCATGAGTAACACTTAAAGAATGTATGCTAGTTCAGCTAAAAGACAGATCTTTAAATTTCTTTCACATGTTTATGGTAAATGTTTAAAGTACATATAACTCGATAATTACCTTCATCAATAAGAATCATTTCACTGTCAGAAGACTCAGTACTTTTCATCTTGTTGTTATCACCATGATTATCATCCATGCTCACTATCGATAATGTACACGAAGACTGTGTTGCTGACTGAGAATCTGATTGTGTTATTCCGCATCCAGATTCTTTAGCAATCAATTCTTTTGTAACATTTTGTGCATTTAGCTTCGATGTATCATGATCTCCTCTTTCGTCAATTAAGTTGTAGTGCTTGTCCTTTATGGACGTTAATAGATCATTCTCCCTTTGATCACCACCGACATGCTTATCAACTTTAGTAGAAATGGATGCCATTTCTTTTCCTAAAAATCCATATATTCTTATAACATAATCATTTTTATTTTTAAAAATTTTCTAAAGTATGTCTGTTACAACTACATGCTAATTGGAGTAACTCACTCTTGCACTCGAATAACATATAAAAAGAAAGATATTAATTTAATATTACAGATTTTTATACTTCTAAAATAAAGAACATTCCCGAGTTCTCTTCAGAATTGAATTTTATTACCGTTATATACGTTTTCTTAGGCAGCAGATGTGAATTGCTGCATGCTTTTAACCTCGTAGAGAACTGACACGTTTTTACAAAAAAAGATTCTCGCATCGCTATAACAAAAGAATTGTGTAATTTAATCAGGTCTTCAATCAGGTTAGTTGTCGTCGTATTAATCTCGTAAACTTACGCGACGGGAATTTGAAAAATATAACGTATGGAGAAATGAGCATCAAGACCGAATCAGACCAAATAGATCAAGTCATCTAGTAGTAGCACCTGTATAGGTATTCAGTGGTTGCGTTCAGTAGAAAAAGCAGTTTTGCACTATTGCAAAATTCTTTAATATGATTGGTCTTATCCTTAGTTCCTCACTGGATCTAAATGTATAAACCAATCACATTCAAGAATTTTACACAGTTGCAAAGTTGCTTTTTCTGCTGAACGCAGCTGAGTGGTATTATAGATAAGTTGTAGCACTGCAGTTTTGTCAATACGAGTATCTTTCACGTCATGATAAATTAGCTAAGTACGCAAAATGTGTGTACGAAGCATATATGTAATACTCTTATATTGCTAACGTTACTTAAGAGCTCTGGCGAAAATATCACGGTGCATCGATATCTACCTCTCGCTTAGATAATAGATGTACTTGAAATTTTAATACGCATGCGCGTATCTGACTAACCAATCTTATCCGCATGTATGGAAGTGAGAAGTCCGATTATTCTCTATCTCTCTGTCTTCGCATCCCTCATTCCCAAAAAAAGGCTGCATTAACAATATAGAAATATTACATGGTACGAAGTAGATTTTTCTTAAAATTCTTCATTAATTTTTCAGAGGTTGTATATAAATTTTAATAAAGTTTCTAAATTTTTCAAAAATTTTTATATAATTTTCAAATGTTTTAGAAAATTAATTCTAATAAATATTGAACAACATGAGGTTTGTTTTTTATTGCTGCACTTTCTGAATTGATACACACAGTACAATGAAAAACAGACCTATGATTTGTCAATTCTAATTCAGTCGATCAATTAAGAGAATCTTAAAATCGTCTGTATTAAATCATATAATTTTTGTATAACAATTACTTTTTTCTCCTTTTATTGATTTGAATATCCTTTTCCAGAATTAAAGTACACTCATTAATACGTGTCTGTGAAGTGGAGTCTATGCTGAGAATGACAAAAATTTCGAAATTGAAATTTTCTTTACCATTTCTTGGCCCAATATGGCATTCCAAAACTGTCACGTTCACGTCACAACATTTGCATCATCATATAAAAGATATGTGCATATCTGTACATATTTACAAAATATATATAGTAGTTCACAGACTAGTAGTTTAATTGCATAAAGAAACAGCGAGTGGAGTTGGACTTAGATATCTAATTGAAACATAATTATTGTTATACAAAAATTTATGTGGCATGAGTGAAATGATGTAGTGCGATCTGATATGTCATTTAGTAGAAAAAAGGAGTCGAATATATGTTGAAACAAGGTAATAATTTCATGATTTCATCTAAAAGTGGACGAATTTATTATAATATTTATTGCTTAATACCAGCTAATTTACAATTTACTAATAATCGATTCCTAGTTTTGCAATTGTTGTAAAATTCTTTAATATCTACTTAAGACGATTTTTAAATAAAATTCGACTATGGACGGTATTTATAGTCCGTTCTTATTTCAAAATTGTTTTAAGTAATGTCTTAAGATACTAATACAGCCTTCTGATTGGTTCGTAATTTCTTAAGACGGCCTTAAATATAAGATCTGACTATGAATACCGGCCTACGATTATTACTGATGTATGACCTGGGAATTAGGAATAAAGAATGGACGATTTTAACCTATTAGAAATCGGATATATCGGAATACACGATTTCTGATAGGTTGAAATCGTTTATTCTTTATTCCTTCTATTGTGCGCAGGGCCTTAATTAGGTTTAATAATATTCGTAGTTAAAATTGACCAATCATAGGTCGGTATTCAGATCTTATATTCAAAACTGTCTTAAGAATGATCTTAAGAAGTCATGAACCAATCAGAGGGCTGCATTAGCACTTTAAGACATTACTTAAGACGGTCTTGAAATAAGAATTGACTATTAATACCGGCCATAGCTGTTTCTCGGAAGAATGGAACGACTGTGAATTTTTTAGATTGACCAGTTTTATAACTACAGATGTTATTAAACTCGATTAAAGATCGGTTTCACCAATGCCAGTTAATTAAATGATCATTAACTGATCAATCACATTTGCTGTTTAGTAGAATTGACCAATTACGATTGATAATTAATTCCGATTAGTTAATCGGCATTGGTGAAATGAATGAATTGGTGAAATTCTAACTCTATCTATAAATTAATCAATCACAATATGAGAAGAATAATCGACTATGATTGGTCAATTTTCTACGACTTAAGACTCTACGACCGCTATGACTTCTATTATAGAACCTGCATTATAAGGATATCGTATAAATGTAGTCAATGTTTGCTTTAATCTCGATTTAATTAATTTACTTTTTATTTTTTTTCTAATATATTTATGACGTTCCAAAACGTCCTCCCTGAGGAAACTTTTACTGAATATAAAATATAGCATGCTTTTTTTGACACAGTCAACACGAGGGTTAAAATTAACATCTACATTGATAGAAATAAGCGGTGTTCTATTATTCACTGCAAGTACTAATCTATAAAATACGTGAAGCCTGAAACATAATTCACATAATTGAAAAACACAAATAACAGAAATAGGAAATAACAAATTTTAACCTATCAGAAACCGTGTATCCTGATGTACACGATTTCTGATAAGTTGAAATCTGTTCAAATATATTATTGACTATTCCTATTGCTTGTGCTTTTCAATTGTGCATTAGACTTTATATTCTTCTCCTTTCTTCCCCCTTTGGGGCGATCCAGCACCAGGCCTGACCAGGCGGGGTGTTTGTGTCTGTTTGTGCCTCGTGATTCGTACTGTCACGGATCCCGTTCGGGGCACCGTCGCGAGATCAGTGGAATTCATCGTCGCCGCCGGGTCTCGATGAAGATGAAGCGGATGAAGAGCGAGGTGATCAGCGCAACGATCGAGTCTTACCTAAAACGGCGTCATTATCAGGTGCGGTGTCTCTCATCGGAGTTTCACGCCGCGCGTGGTTTGCCATCAATGTGTACGCCATAACCTCCTTCACCGCTGTTGCATGTTTTTCCAGACCCACGATTATCGCAAGGGCGATCAGTTGTTCTGTCAGAACAGCGATCAGACAACGTTGAACGCGACCGCGGAGTGCGGCACCTCGCAGGACAACTCGATCGTTTTCAGTGCCATTACCATTGACATCGCTGCGGCAGATCAGGCATATCAGCGGTATGGTTTTATAGGACTCGAACTCGTGTTCGAATCATACGACATGATTACTATGCCGTTTGTTCTAGCGAGATAAGGCATTTTGTTGTCTGATCACGCGATGCATTCATATCTTACTAATTCTAGATTCTAATATTTTATATTGCAATTTTTTATTCAGAATATAATGTGTGTTTGAATTGTATAGTTTTCATGTGACTCTGAATTCTCAGGAAATGGCTAAAAATTAGATGTATTATGTTTATTTAATGGTGAATTCGATCAATTATACTATACTGGATTAGTATACATTAAAGACTGCTTTATATAAAGTATTTAAGGAGGTTATAAGGGCATAAAAGGGCATATATTAATATTTACACTTTAAACAAACTGCATACATGTGAAAGTTGTTTTCATAATATTCTGATTTTATTGAGCACACATTTTTATAGATTATTTATTTTATTTGTTATTAGTTTTATTGTTATAAATAAAAATTGTTAAAATGATAAGAAAAATCTAAATTTTTTAATATAAATATATTAAATACTAAACATGTCTTATGCAAAGTTTCATTGAGATGTTCACCATTAGTTTACAACAAATAAATTTTATTTATTTACTGAACAATTAATGTCTGCATCTCAAGGTAACTTTACATAAATATTGTTGAATTCATAAAGTATTTATATATAAAAAAATAGAGACTTTTATCATTATTTTATAATACATTTTCATATATTTATATTAGAGTACATTTAAAAAATATTACTACTTATTTAAATAACTTTTGATCCAGATGGTCAACTGTCTCTATTTTTTTTTTTGTATTATTATTAAGTGCAATTTAGAATAGTCTATAATTTTTTCAAGTAATTCTTAACAAATTGCATTTGTCGTACAACTTCTTTAAATGCAGTGGCATAATACAATTAACTTGACAATGAAATAATGCATGTATATTCTGTTACAGAACATGACATTATTATTGTTATTGATCATTTAAAAATATTTATGTTTCTACATTTAATTTTGTTAATTTCATGTATAGTCACCTTTAATAAATTTAGCATTAATTTAATGTAGATACATTTGCATGCTGAGACTTGATGCTCTTTATATCAAATCTTCTTTAATATCAAAATAGATTATGTGATCAAAATTAATACTTGATATTTCAATTTTGATCATGTGACATTTAACGTAATATTTTAACACTAAAAACGAACGTCGAGCAAGTGACTGAATTCATTTTAACAGTCTTCTATTTTTATGATTTGTTTATTTATTCAATGGCTTGTTTTTGCTTAGGGAAGGCTGTTATCAAGATAATTAGTAGTGAATTCAATTGGATATACTGCACTCTAATATATGTACAGCCGGTCACAAAGATTTTTTTTTTTCAATGAATTTCGGAACTAAATCTTGATCGTAAAGTAGAGCAGTTGAGTTCTAAAAAGTTCGATTCATAAGTAAGAACGAATCACTCGGTGAGTAAGCTGCATTCTGTAGTCATGAAAAAAAAGTTGCAATTTTTCTCTGACCGGTTGTACATTAACCTTTAAGGCCCAGTTTCACTACTCACGGTTAATCGAGGTTCAACTTATTCATTGTCTCTTTCCAATTCTAGAATTGGAAAAAAATGAGAAACAAATTGAATCTCTGGTTAAGAGTTAACCATTGAGTTAACCATTGAGTTGGAACTGAATCTAAATGAGCCCCATGTAACCATCGGTTAAGCTAACCGACGATTACATGGGACTCATTTATGAAGTTTCCTAACAAGAATTTTTTATAATGTTAAAGCTAATATTTCATGTATCATAGGACAGGCTTTTCAAGTCTGTTGATTGGCTGCGGATCAGATAGAGATTCTCAAATCTC